CATTCATTGTCTAGTGTCCTGAAGTTCTCAGAAAGTTTTTTTGGCTGATAATTAATTACTTAGCAGCAAGACGCATCCGCACTTGTAAACACCGAGCGAGAAAATTGGTTGGCTGCATTAATCGCGAAACGCGAGGCACGTTTAACTTCCTGGCGCTTGTTAAGTAAATCCTAATTAACTAAGTGGCACAATTTGCCGAGCCTTTTGCGATTTACCACATCCAGGGCACTTTCGACGCTCCATCGGCCACCGACGATTTTAAATTCGCTGTTATTTATACCCCACTCCGAACAAAGCCGCCTAATTGCATAGATTATGATTTGGTCACGCGTCTGCCTTTTACTTTGTTTACCGAATCGTAGACGGCGCTTTGCGAAAAGTACTAACCAGATGAAGATTTTTTATTTTCTCTATGGGCAACGTTTTGGTTAGTTTTTAAATCTAAAAACGGTCGATTTGTTCCGATTTTTCTGTCATTCGAATTTGGTGGAGTCGGCATTTGTTTTTTGTTATTTGCATTGCATAAGTAACTCCTTAATTTATAAAATTTGCCTAATAGTACTAGGTTAGTTTTGTGTCCATAAAGTACGGATGTATTTTCTTGCCAAAGAAAGCAGCAATAATTTTAGCTGACATGCTCAACCGAGTCAAACCCGAGAAGAATACATTCCAGTGGTATCAGTATGGAACGCGGCCAATGTTGGCATTGTTCTAGCGTCTCAAAAAAAAACAACTACTGCAATCGCGCAAAAAGGATCTCTCGCGTTCGAGTTTGTTTAAAACGTTACGGCCTTGAGGGAAAACGCGATAAGTGCACCCTTGCATATTTAATCCCCATAATATGATAATAGTTGTTGCATATTCGTGCACAAAATCGTGTCCAGAACGGCGATGTCGTGATTAAGCGCAATTTCATTTTAAAATTTACAGGAAGTAATCAACATAGATTTAATCGGAACAAGAGAACTTTTAACTGAAACCAGGGCGTCAGTTATGTTCAAACGAAAGCTTTTTAGAGGAAGCTCTCCGGTGCCCACGACCGCAGAGTTTGTTTCAAAACACTGAAACTGAGTGTTGTTGAAAAACGCTACCCCAAGTTTCAGAAAGAAATATGATTTAACCTGACTTATCTCCCTTCCAAAATTGCAGACACACCATGAATAACAATAGCGGTACATACAATTTTTTTCTACTCCCGTCCGCAAAATGCCTAATTAACACACCGATGTAGAGTGCGGGAAGCATCACTTTACTACTTCAGTTTCGTTTCCCACAGATCTGAGGCACTGCGGACATTTCCGGGATTTTACTGCACGAGTTTGGGAGCAATCGGATGTTTTCGGAGATATTTCCCACGCTTTGAATTTTGACGTTTGTCAATTCTGACGGTCATGTCAGTGAATGTATTCGCGGTGTTTTGCGAAGATGTACCGAAAAACTAACGGTCGTAGAAAAAATATAATATGCAACACGTTCGGTAAACTTTTAAAGTCACTCGTTTATTAAACATTTGCTCCGCTCGTCAAATAAACTCATGAGTCAAGTGCCGTTTTTCTACTCCCGTCTGTAAAACACCTAATTACCCACCAATAGCGTGCGGAAAGCGTCACTTTACCAAGTCAGTTTCGTCTGTCAGGAATCAGAACCACTTCGGAGACTTCCGGGGGATTTCACCGCACGGATTTGGGAGCAATCGGATGTTTTCGGAGATATTTCCCACGCTTTGAATTTTGACGTTTGTCGTGTTGTTTGGCGAAAATGTAGCCAAAAACTAACGGTCGTAGAAAAAGTATAGTATGCAACACGTTCAATATACTAACCAAAACTCGCTCCGCTCATGTCAAATAAACTCGTAAGTCAAATGCCGTTTGCCGCACTTGTTGCATAATATACTAATTTTTTACTCCCGTCTGTAAAGTGCCTAATTACACACCGATCTAGCGTGCGGGAAGCGTCACTTTACGACGTCAGATTCGTTTCCCACGGATCCGAGTCACTTCGGACATTTCCGGGAATTTACCGCAAACTTTTTAAGTCACTCGTTTATTAAACACTCGCTTCGCTGCGCTCCGCTCTTGTCAAATAAACTCGCGAGTCAAATGCCGTTTACCGCAATTGTTGCATAATATACTATTTTCTACTCCTGTCCGTAAAATACCTAATTATTCACCAATCTAACGTGCAGGAAGCTCAACTTTACCACTTCAGTTTCGTTTCCCACGGATCTGAGCTCCTTCGAACATTTCCTGGATTGTACCGCACGGGTTTGGAAGTTTTAAGAGATATTTCCCATTTGTCAATTCTGACGGTCATGTCAGTGAATGTATTTATTTTGTTTTGCTAAAATGTACCCAAAACTAACGGTCATAGAAAAAGTATAGTATGCAACACGTTCGGTAAACTTTTTAAGTCACTCGTTTATTAAACACTCGCTCCGTTCATGTCCAATAAACGCACGAGTCAAATGCTTATATTAATTCAGTTTGCTTCTTATGGAAAATAGTTAATGTGAACCAAGTCAAAACTAACCAAAAATTGATGTTGCAAACAATTAACTCGGTCTAAACTGAAATGGGCATGGTAATGCAGCCAATATCGATTTTATGAGGCAAATTTTATTTAGAAGGAGACGGGTAATTGTGACACGTCAATACTAGTAGCAGATAAGTGGAATAAATGGTTGTGGTTTATTTTGACTATTTTTCACGGCAACAGTCTTTTTATATAAATAAAATAAGTATTTTGATATACTTTTAAATAATAAATTAAAATAAGGGTATGTTTAAAAAAAAAATTTTCAAAATACATACAGTAAATTTTTGACTAATAAATCTTTTTGAAACGTTAAAAAATGCTTAAATATTTACAATTTCTACAATTTTTTTTTAAGAACTACTCAAAATTTTATTTTTTCAAATATATAACTTAAATATTTTCTGATCATCCAATAGTAATAAGTAAATGATTTCAACTAATAAGTGCATCGACAAAGAACATTACTATTCTAGTATTGGCTGTTTTAAAGTGTTTTAATGAAAAGAAGATGACATTTTCCGCCAAAAAGTTGAGCGACAATCAAAATTTCTAACGTAAACGGGAATAATTTAAATCAATCCCATTCGATTCCTTACAAATTGAGGCAGAAGAATATCGAAGATCAAAATGGTAGTAAGACGATATCCTTGCCAAAGTTTATTGTCTAGCTTGTAGTAGAATGAAAATGCTGTCTTCTTCGATTAGCTTGCATACATTTTCATCGGGTTATATTTATAGCGAAGTGCAATAGAAAAATAGTTTTTCTCGTTTTAGGAACAGGGACGAAATATAACAATTGATATAGATAATCTTTGTGTGAGTGTTAGGAATGGGCCTAAACGCCTAATACGAGAAATTTCCATTTAGGTGGTAATGAAATTGTTGAGACTCATGTGGTAATGAGTTGTACAAAAAAAGATCTTTCTCATAAATTAAAAAAAAAGTGTTTATTTGTGTTACATATCGATTTCTATGCACTGGGTTTTAAACTTAACGTAGAAAAACTATTCCAAGCTGTTGGCGTCCTGCGTAAAAGATCGAGCGTGTGACCTCATAAACATGACGTATTGATTTCTAAATTTCACACCATGAATTTTATCATTTCCTAAGCGATATATAGGGTTTCCATTATAATTCGTTCATAACGCTTTTATGGATTCTTTACGCTCGGCAACACTTATTTTCCGCCATTTATCCACGGCAATAATTAAATTTAGAAAATGGCGTAAGTTTAAAAGTATTCGGGTCACTTTCCGAACAATATAATGCGGGAACGCCATGAAGTTTTTTATGGCTCAATTGTTGACGTGCAAATTTCCATATGTGCATGACTTTAAACAGTAATTAAAGCGACCGAAAAAAAAATGGTATTAAGTTTCCAATGACGACATGAAAGCGCGATGGCGCGAACACGAACTTCAAAGCTCGACCTCAGTGTTTGGCGATAAAAACGAAACTATACAGCTTGTCCTCTAAAAAATAACGGACTGCTAATATTAGAAACAGCAGATTGTCCGTGTTTACAATTTATGTCTTACATATTTTCATTTTAAAACTTATTTTCAATTTGATATGACAATTTGGCAGTTAAATAATGAAAATGAAGACGAAATCTTAAGTTTTTCGATATCAAATTTCACGCAGATATAGAGTGAGGGACATGTGTCTGGTTTTTTTAAATTATTAAATCTTTTTGAAAACCGTCCCTTCAATCGAAGAAATTTTAAACGCAAATAGGCGGGAAATTCAGGGCTGTAACATCTGAAGAAGCATATGTATGATGCATATCATACGTGCGAAAGTGAGACTTGAGGAAATGTATTTTGTAAAACAAGGTGGCTAACGACGTACCCATGATTGATTGCAATACTAGATAATATTAAATGTATAAAGAACAAATATAATGAATAACTTGTTTTAACCTCAATAACCTTCCAGAAACATTAAGAGCTATTAGCACAGTTAAAAGAATATTTTTTTTGGTTTTGGGCATTAGGCATGAGGCTTTACTTCTGACGTTTTTTCGATAATGTACAGGGTGTGTCCGTTTGTTAGTTTTGGTTTTGGTATATTATTAGCAATACACAGCATACAGGGTGCGCGAGATATTTACATTTGCGATTGCATTTTATATTGGACACGCTGAATAGGAGCAGGCGAAGCATGAAAATGTACGCGGCTCGCCCGTTCTTGGCAATTGGAACGTAAACACGTAAAAATGGATTGGCGTAACGAAAAAACAAGAGAAAACTAATTTGTAAAATAGTTAATGTTAAAGTGTTATTTTACCGCCGCTGCCAAAGTTGTTTGCTCGAATATTATGATGTATTGACCTTTCGCGATGGCGAATTAGTGTTTTAACTTTTGATCGCCTCGTTATCTTGGTGTTCATTGTGCGAAAAAATCAAACGTCTGCGTTAATTTTTAATTTGTGATCCTAATTGCGTATTATTTCTCTGTTCCAGTATGCGGCGATATACACGGTCAGTTTTATGACCTTATGAAATTATTTGAGGTGGGGGGTCCACCTGCTAGTACAAAATACCTTTTTCTTGGTGATTACGTCGATAGAGGATATTTTAGTATAGAGGTAAGTACTTTTAAAAAATTGCTCGTTTCGAAATCTGTCTCACGTGTTTGTGTATTTCGTCCTTACATATTTTGTAATCCGGCTGCGCTTTTCCGAACTCTTGCTGGTTTCATGGAGGGTTTCCCCCACCTCATTTAGTTTGGGGTAGAGTGTGGTATACAATTTAACATTCTAAATCCATTAAATTAGAGTTACCTGATTCAGAAGCCATTAAAAAAGTGCTTCTTCGAAATTCTGACTTAAATACGTTTTATTCATTCTTTCGCAAAATTTCCCATAAATAGTTATATTAAAGGTAAAGGAAGCCATTTTGAACTCGATCAAGGGGAGTAATTTCTGGTAGCATTTATTTATGATTTTCTGCAAACACTCAATATCGATAGTCATATTAAGTGTTCATTGATAGTCAGGGCGTAATCGAGAAGAGAAAGAGGGCTGTTATTTCCAATCCTGCGACTTTCAGGTTTCGAGTAATTTCATTTTTTCTGATTTTTTGTGACGACCAAAGGCCAGGTTCTATTTCTTTGCAAATTCCTTGTCTTTTATTTTGTGTGGCTAGGATGTGTAGGATTGCAACGATTTCTAGTGTACTGATTTAACCTAATCAAAGCTGATACTGTTAAATCACCTTCTTTCTATATCATCTATTTGAGTTCTTTAAAATCTATATTACAAAGTTGAATTATAACTAAATATTTCGGTACTGTTCTGATACTAAAGAATATTATGAATTTTAAATACTTTAATTAATTAAATTCTTTTTCGTATTGCCCAAATATTTATTGGCTCCTTTTTTATTCTGTTGGCAGTGCGTGTTGTACCTGTGGGCGCTTAAATTGTGTTACCCTACCACCCTATTTCTTCTCCGAGGGAACCACGAGTGTCGGCACTTAACGGAGTACTTTACCTTTAAACAAGAATGTAAGTATAACTTAGTGTGAACTGGGAAAAAGTTTTTAATTTTAATTTGAGTTTGACGGATAATAGAAATAAGTTAGTCGGTCGGTCGCCTCCATTCAAAAGAGTTTTGCGGAAGTTATATAAAACGATGGTTGCGAATGAACACAAAATCAACTAGTTAAATATAGGAAAAAGAAAATCGTTGAGGTTTTAAAATGACTAAAGTAATAATTCATTAACAAATCAATATCAAAATATTTTCAAACATACTTCAAATGTTATAGTTTGATTAATTAAATTGGAGAAAATATTTGTTACATTTTAAAACGCATTTTTTTCTGAGTCTTTTATTATAAAATACATATCAAATAATGATAGATAACGCTCTACAATTGCAAGATGGTATTTAAAACATTTTGACCGACCTGGTCAATTAAGAAGTGGTCAATTGACCAGCCCCAACAGTACTTATACCTATGTAAGCAAAATATTTCCACGGAAAGATATTACTACAGAATGTATTGAACCAAATGGGTTCAGTGTTCTAATGTTTTTTTTTACTGACAATTGATATTTTTTTGTGGTATACTTGTCTTCATCACTTTCGTTCAATACTAGGGTGTCCGTTAATTCCATAACATACAGAAAACGCTGTCATGGATGATAATACCAAGATAAGAGGCGACACTTTCACGTCATAAGAAGCATGCAATAATATTAAGACGATTGCAAGTTAATTGCAATATAATAAATCTTGTACCAAAACGTTCCATTGTACCCAAATGGTTATTAATTTCCTAGTAGGTAATACTGATTCGTTCGCCATTATTAAAGCATACATTTTCAAGGCTCACATAGATTGCACCTCGCAGAGCTCATTCGATCAATAAACTATACGTGAGTCGCAGAAGAGTAGTGAACAGCACTGAAATTATTCATTTGTACAGTTCCCATAATTCCAGACAATTCTCAAAAAATACCAGCTTTATATTTGTTTTGGGCTACTGGCAAACAAAAAAACGTTTTCTGACAGATTTTTGTCACAATTTTGAGGTTGTAATAAGCTTTTGCTATCAACTAGGCTGACATGGGTAGGATTTCAGTAGTATAACAAATGAAGGTCTCACGAAATTATTTTTTTTTCGTTCATATATTTAAAAGAGTCCTAATGGGAATTTCGAAATACCAATTTTATTATCATATTTAGACTAAAACGATCTATAGCCCCTCGAAAGAGGACCTGCGGGCGGGTTTGCTTCCAAAGGAAATTAATCTAGAGATTTCTTCGTTTACACGCCGAGGAGTACCGCGTAACCTCCGACCATGTCCTCATTAAACTACATCGAAACTTTCGGCGATGTTTGGCAAACAGAATCTTATACCCGGGTAGAGCGATTGGAGCTAATTTAAGCCCCCCACCCAGGGTGGCGGGGGTAACCGGTCCCCTTCACCCCTATTAACAAGCAAAACAAGTCTTTGCGAGTAAACAAAACCGCCATCGTGTTGCGACAATCCATTATATCCATATTCATAAAACCGAACGGGACGACCGAGTAAAAGCGGGACATTCATGTTCTACATCCGTTAAATGTCTATCTTTCACACACACACTGTCCCCGACGCGACGTATTCAAACCGACTCCCTTTTTGCCGTCGTTTTTTATTAAATATTGACGTTTTATTTGGATTGATGCCGGTCCCCCATCGCCCGTTGATTTACTAGTTGATTTATCGCGGCGTTTCCCTGTTTATTTTCGGTTTCGCTTCAGAAAACTCTATTCCATTATCTATACGCGCGAAAGTTATCTGTTATCTGAATCTGGATGTGCGCGAGACCAAAATAGTTATTTGTGTTATTAGTCACTAGTCACCAACCTGTTCCTAAAATTTAAATAAATAGGGAACAAGTCAATTTTTAGGTTCGGACTAGGAGACTTTCATATGGATATAACCTATTGCCCGTTTGTCAGCAACTTGTGATAGTTTTTCCACTAAGTACTTGCCGACATGCATGCACTGGATTTTAAATTGTTTCAACATTTTTTGTATCTATTATTTAGTCCATTCTTTTTCTTCCCTCCTGATTCAGTCTCAAATAATTCTGCTAAGTTTTAAAGTTGGCCTTGCTTTTTCACTCTTTGTTTAAAATATTTGCAATGGACATTCCATATTCCAGGTACAGTTCAAATTTTTTATATGAATAAACTTTCACTCTAATTTTCTTCAAAGTAGACTTTCCCTATTCAATCCAAATTTTAGGAACAGGTTGGTGATAACGACCGGATGTAACATGTATCAATAATCAATACAATACGTCTTTGTTACCTTTATACGAGCAAGGTTCGTCATAAAGATAATATAAAAAATCATTATATAAAAATGGAGTTATAAGAAATACAATTAATAAAGACAAGTTACATTTAGAGTAAAAAACAGACTATTGAAATATTTCACAAGATCACAAGACTGAGTTAACTACATTGAACTTTAAGTTTTCTTTTTGGCAAACATTTTGAATTCCTGCAAATTACTGATTTATTCAGATCAGGGATTGTTTATAGAAAAAAGTATTTTTAATTTGTTTGTAATGTCCTTTAAATTACAATAGCCTCGTTTTCATAGAGAAAACTTAACTTTCGCACTAGAAAATAAACGCTTTTCCTCAAATTTTTTCTTGAAAAACAAAACACCAACCGCAATAAAATATAACTTTCAAAAGAATTTAACAAAAAGTCTTAGGAAAGAAAGAAACCACTGCTTGTCACATGCAGGTATCGTCGCAACATTCACATTGATTTTTTACTCATCGTCCTTTAGATTTTGACTTACTGAAGAGCCCGTAACAAAGGAGACAAAAATAATTTTCACTCCATCATCGCTTTCTTCGCACACTTTTCTTTGTGCTTTCTGTTTTCCTTTCTTGTCTTATTGTCTTGTTTTCCTTTCTGTTGTCTTCTTTAGCTCCTCCTGTTGCAAAAACACGATCTTTTTCGGGAGCGTCAGTCAAGATTGCACTATTTCTTTTTCTTCAATTTTACTTCGTACTCCTTGATATCATTCATTGGACTGGCAAGAACTGGCTTTTTTTGGTGAATGGCTAAGCAAGCTGGGTGGTTAACTGTTTCTCATTATCTGCACATGGCATCCAGAAATTATATTTTTTGGTGTTACTGCTAAAAAATGCTTTTCTAAGTTTCAGTTGGGATGTTATATATAGTCATATTTGCCTCTGGATGTTATTTCAATACTTATAAAAATTTTTAATGGTCCAAAACTAACGGTGGACAGAAGTAAGGTATCATGCCATGCCGGCAAAAATGGACTTGAAGTGTCACCTCGAATGATATTTTTCTCTTAATTACCCATTTTTATTTAGACCAGCAGTAAATTGTTAGTTCTAACTATGTAGCTAAATTCGCATATATTGAAGAACCAGATTGCTTCAGTAAGGACGTGTCAAATTGAAACAATATGCCCCGAAATTCCATTTTTTAAAATAATCTCATAAAATTATCATATCGTAAGTCTCTATGACATACCAAGAAGTAGCAGAATTTACAGGATGCTATCCAGAGATTTGACACGTGGATTTAGTGCGATAAAACTAATCTATGCGAATTCTAGGAAAGAAACGTTAGTGCTTTTCGCTAGAAATCACGTCCTAGGCAATCTGTCTTTTGATAAATATCTATTCAGAGTGCAAGATGACGGAGATGTGAAACCCAAGGCTATAGAGATGGGCAGTCGGCTCGTTCCCACTCTACAAGAAATAGCCAGCGACTATATTTCCGCCAATTAGTCGACGGCTAAGGTAATCTACATACTTAAGACAGAGCAGGTTGGCTCAGACTCCAATCTCTATCGACTTATTAGTCTCACCTCGTTTCTACTAAAAAGCCTGAAAGGATGGATTAGAGAAGAGGCCATCCATACGCACATCAAGCAGGAAAATCTACAGAACTAGCTTCAAAAAATCTAAAAAATAAAGATATTGAAGGATCATTTAACAATAAACTACCAGAATGTATGCCAGATGAATAGTTCCATATTCTCACTTATATGGAATATCGGTTTTCACCAGGATATTTAGAAATTGTAACGATATTATTTAAATTAGATTTTTTTGCCCATTAAAGACACACCCTGTAAATTATCGAAAAAATGATAAAGTTAGGGGTGGTAGTCCTAGATCTCCCACTTTTAATGGTTTATTTATTAATGGCATAAATGGTTTTCAAGAAAATATTTTTTTTCTGAAACCATGCAGTACATTGCAATATTAAATGAAGAGTGATTTTCATATGGATTTATTCAAATATCTCGAGCAGCGTTTGTGATAGACGAAAACCGTAAATACAAAAATTGTCGCCGTTGATGCGGCCTACAATACTGTTAGCCATATTTTTTACAGATTTTGATTTACAGCTAATAATTTATTCTTGAGAAGTACAATTTTCACATTCTTTTAAATTTTTGTCCATTGAAAAACCCTGTAAAAAGCCTGAAATAAAAATTATTGCCTCGGATTTCCCGTCTTTCCTGGTTCTAAAATATTGCCGATCGGGTGAATAGTTTTTGAGAAAATCATGTTTTTCTGAAAGCCAAAATACTCAAAGAAAAATTTTCAAAAAATTTAAAAAAGTACTTGGTGATATTTGATTACGCCCAATTCCTACGATTTAGATGTTTAAATCATTTCTTATATAGCACGGAATATCCTAAACACCCTGTACAATAGGCGAAAACCTTAAATACAAAAGTTTTATCTGTCTGTATAGGCTATATCGCGGTGTTAGAAAAATTGGCTACTAAATCACAGCCTTTTAGATATAGTCAATTTTTATTAAAAGATGAACTCAATTTTCAGGTTTTTGCGAATACCGGACACACCGTGTATATTTTTGAAAATTACCAAGAACAAAAGGTTTATTGCACTGGATCTTGTGGATCTTTGCGCCTAGTAACTTTTTCGATAGTGTAAACGGTTTTCGAGAAATGACCTTTTCCTTACACCCTTGCAA